TCAGAGCAGCACAGACTCAGAAGGCTCAGTCCAGATTATGTGATCCTATCACCCAATCAAGAAGCTCCAGTGGAATTTCCATCCTCATCAGAGCCAACAGCAGTGGTAGCAGCCAGGTGTGGCACTAGGTGGCCCAAATATGAGCAACCAGGTCATCTCACTCCAGTCTGTTGGGCCTTTTCCCTTGTACTGCCCAGCTGTAACAACAGTAGCAACAACAACTTCCTGCTCTTACCCCCTCTCCTCAGCAACTGTCACCCTGGAATAATCCCATTATTTCACAGCAGGCAAATGACCTCAACAACCCCTTCAGACAAATGACATTCAACTGAGGCAGCTAATCCATTCTCATCTCTCTTCCAGACCCAAATATTCCCCCAGCATCCTCAGCAACTTAGCTCCACCATGACTTCTACAAGCTAGCTGTTCTCTACTTCCAACCACTGCACCTCTCTCCTTGTACCACCTACTCACAAGGAATCCTGTCACTTCAAGGCTACCTGCAGGCCCCTCCACAGATTCGTTATTTTTAATATCCCTGGACAGTATCAAGCTAGCAATATCCACTTCTCTCTCCCCCACTCACTTGGACAAATACACAGGCACACACACATACACACACCTGGTGGCCTATAGCCCCCAGCATGGTCAACAGCTGCCTCTCTCAATAGCCTATTTTACAGTTCATGACTCCTAACCAGCAGCACACAAGTTACGTGCTTGGGGTTCAGCAGCCTTAGAACCAGGATCTCCTCAACAACCAGAGGAGCAGCATGGGAGGCCATATGAAAGGCCCTGAATTCAGTACACTCTGCTGCCTTCTTACCAAGCCCTACTATGCAGTGACTCACAAAACATTGTCCTGCCTCCTTTCCAGCAGCCCATGCTGGTCCCTCAAGTCAACCTGTGGAAGGAGGCCTCCTAGCAGGGCCTGTACCCATGTTCAGTATGATCCTGCTAGCACAGCAAACTTGTCTGAGTCCTTCTATAGGGGTTCTGCAGCCTCCTGGCTCTAATTAGTATCAGATACCTCAGCCTCCCTCTTCCTGAAGCTCACCACAGATAGCACAGCAGTGCACAGGAATGCCACCACCTTCTGGACCAAGTGCATTAATCATGCAACTGAATGTGCCTAATGGACAAGAGCACACACACACACACACACACACACACACACACACACACACACACACACACACACACACACACACATCCACCCATGGTCCAGTGGAGTCACTGCAGACATTACAGTATAGACCAGCAGGGTCAGAAGCCTGGAGACTTGTACAATCCTGACAGTAACCTCAGGTCAACACACACCGGTACAACAGCCCTGTCCTATCTCTTAGTCTCGAGCACCCTCTCCTGTCACCATGCTGCCTGCACTGGACTCAATCTCCTGCCTTTCCTCATATAGTCCCACGAGCCTGGGGGTCCTTCACAGGGTGGTGGGCACCATTCCCTCTCAGGGGCAGTCATTACAGCACAGTCTGTCCATTTGCTCTATGGCCAGTCAATTCACAGTGTGTCAGGGACAGAGTAGATTGAAGAAAAAAAAAAAAAAAAAAAAACAGAGCAAGAGACAAGTACTCCACCGACCTAGGGACAGCAAGTGCTCTGCTGGGAATGGTGCTGGAAGTGACAGATGTCCCTGAGGGTATCATCTACACAGAAACAGACAAATTCTTCACGAAGCTGGCACCAATATCCAGTGGTTTGTAACAGACAAACATGCACATTATGTAGTTGTACATACAGATGTTTGCTGAGTATATTCACTGTAAATTTTATGTAAGCCATTATTGATTGTTGGGGTAGTTACTTGGGGGGTAGTTTCATTTTTAACTTTAAAAAATAATTGTAAAAATGGACAGAGAATAGACCTCTCTTATACAAAGTCCTTAAAGAGGACAAGCGACTTACAACTTGTCATTGTCAAACAATAGAAATTCTGGTTGTAGGACAGTATATACTTAATGTGTTTCAATCAGCTCATTTTTGTGATTTCCCTAAAATTACTCATTTTTGTTAAGTTCTGGTAAAAAGTCAATGTCATTTAGGAAAGTCAAGTCCATGTTCAATTGGTCATAAAATTCATTCTTTTTATCCCCTCTTCTCTTGGGTTATCCCTCATTAACTTTTCCATCTAGTCTTGTGTTTAAAGGTTTTTTTGTCACTTTCATCTGCCAGACCCCCACACTGAACCATGGCCCACTTATGCCTCTATTGGTCCTATATGCTATAAATACTTCATCATTAAAACACCCTTATTACATTTCTTTTCAAGTCTTAGCACTGTACATCACCTCAGTTCTGGGACCCTTCTCTTAAAATTAAAACAAATCTCCCGAAAAATAGCCATTTGAAAACCGCTGTTTTTGGTCTGTATCACTCTCATGATGAGGAATTCTCTACTTTATTAGGTATATCCATTTCCAGAATCGGACTCTTTCTGTTTTAATGGCACTATTGTTATTCTTGCTACAGAGAGACCATTTCTTCAAATGCCATCTTATATTGAAACCCAGAATGTTAAGTACACTCACTCACTCTCATTAAAGAAGGGTTGTTTCAAAATGTCTTTTAAGTATCCTTTCCAGTCACTTTTTGCTGAATCTATATAATACCTGTAGCCACAATAAATCTGTCTGAAATTTTTGATTTCAATTATAGACCACTTTGAGGCCTTTTACTGTCACACTGGAGAGATTTCCCAGAAGTCTAAAATTCCTTCTTGTTATAAACTTATATAACACTGAAAATTTCACAGAATTGAATTGTCATTTATTTCCAACACCCTCCAATAAATTGCCATCACCTGTGTTGGAAACAGGCATAGATCAATGGGAAGAATGTTAAGAGAGAACACTGTAAGATGCTTTTGACAACCAATAACTGAGATATAAAGTATTTGTGGGTCTCATGACAATCTCTGGCCTTTTGAATGAAAAGAAAGATGAAATATATCAGAGTAATTAACATTTTGCCTACATCCAAGAGGTAATGGAGATGTTACTAGCTTAGCATGGAGCACAACCTTCTCTACTGTTCTAAAATATGGAACCATAGCAAGGTTTAGATTAAAAACTCCCCAGGCTATGTATGATAGCCCAGAATGGTTTGGCTGAAACACTGGTGCATCAGGGATTTTTGGCTGAAACACTGGCGCATCAGGGATTTTTCTCATGTGGTAGATATTTGTCTTGAATTCTTAAAAAGAAAAAAATCTAGTCTTGTTTTGCTTTAGAGCTGTAAAATTCCCATGGATGAAAGAAGAGACTTTTTTCTAATGATGAAACTTCTAGGAAAGCAAGGAACAAAAGAGGCATGGAAGGAGAACATGGGATACCACGGGTTATGTGAGTCAGAGGAAGGTAGCTTAGAGTTCTCGTGAAGTTGGATATCTTGACAGCACATTATCTTTCATACCCTATATTTTACTGATTTTTTCCTTTATTATTTTACTCCATAATTCTATTTTCTTGGTTCCATTTCAGTCTTTTTTTTTTGTCTACTAAGATGCCAGCTGGATTATCATCCAGTTTCTAAACCTCCTTGATAATCTAATATTTACTGGGAAGTACCTGGCAATCTTTCCTTTCAGGAGACCCACAGTGAGATAAGCCTATATTCTAATTAGTCATAATCAGTTGATAAACTGACTCTCCATTGTCCCAAGAGTCAAGATGAAGTACAGGAAATTTAAGTGTTTTAACATTATATTGAAGTCTTCTTAGGATTAGTGGTTTCCTAAGGAATGTCTGTGTGACTGACTCTAAGATGATTGTTCCTAGACAAAATTACTTTGGGGAGTAAAAAGAAGAGAAGAATAGCATCTGTTTCCTCTGGCGCCATGTGCTAATTATTTCTTATTGTTGTAGTACATATTTGTATGAATAGGAGACAAGAATTGGTAGAGACCACAGGATGGAGTCAGCAGTGATCTTTCACTGTTGGGACTGCGCTGATACAGTAATCTTGATGTATTTCTCTGTCAGTTGCTGGAAAGCATACTTAAATGGCCACTCTTCTTCAGTAGTGTGGCATCTGGACAGTGGAAAGGGTGCAGTATGATACAAAAGCAAGAGATTTAGAGTGGATAGGAAAATACAGCCAGGAATGTCTTCTGCTGAAGTGCTCTAGCTGGTTTTAAGAAAATGCTAGTGAGCCTCAAGGACCCCAAGAGAGGTATCTTCAACTTAAGGAATTCACCTTGGGGCACCTTCAGCAGTAAGTCTTTGAAAGAACCCTGGAAGTTGCCCATAGAAGAAGTGTTCCCTTTTTCTTGGTCTTCTTTCCAATTCTGACAAAGACAAAGGAATGGATATCAAGAAGCAGGAAAAAATAAGAAGTTGTGGGAAATGTCCATCTCAGCCTTTCTTATTGTATGACTTGGACCACAAGAAGGTGAAGTGGATATATTATATAATTTCAGCATGTGATGGGGTTGAAATCACATTAAAGGAGACTTGTTAAACATAGAATAAAGAGATCTTATAGGATGTGTCTATGATGAAGCTGAGGAGATGAGCATCAATAATTAGTCTTGTAGGCTTTAAAAAAACAAGGATACAAAGTTGCATGTTTAGGGAAGAGTTGGGAGTAAATGTGATTAAAACACAGTGCAAAATTCTCAAATAACTAATAAAATTGTTGAGTTTCTCAAAGTATTTCATTATTTCCAAGTTCTAAGTAGTATGGCTTTGGATATACTTTTCTTATTGATGCCACTCTTTTATTCTAACAACTTGATCCATACTAACTGTGATTCTAAAGTAAGTGGTAAGTCATCTCATGTTTTCCTTAAACATTTATTCTTTGTGCTAGGGTGGTCTCAGTGCTACTGATACATTTAGTGCTAAATGAACCAAAGATACTGACATGTATTTTCACACTTTGGCATAGCTAGAATGTCTCTTTTTATTTTATAAAGGAGAACAATTACACTCTGGCATACTTTAAAAAGTATGAAATTATAAGAAACTTAAAAGGATGGCTCATCAATGATCTTTTCAAAATTCTTCAGCGTAGCAGCTGTCACCATTAACAAGCACACACCTCAGGTACTTGAGGTAAATATCAATTATATATGTGTCAACACGAAGGCAGTAGAACAATTTATAAAGAGCAAAAAAGTGACTTTCTTCATCAGCTGCCCGTAAGGAATCTAGATCCTTCCAGTCAGGGTACGTCTCATTTTCCTCCAGTCCAGGATGAACCTAAAGACCAAACAAGTAGTCAGACAATTAATATTACCACTGATTGCATGATTGTATATAACGTTACTGATTGTATTTTTTATGTCTTTTTTCCTTCTGAATACTGATTTATATTAGGGGAAATGTTAGTAATGTACAACGTTGGTCGGGAGCATGGATTTTCAGAAATCTAGCACAGAATATTAAAAATCTGTCATTTAAAAACTAGGATGGAAACCTGCTTTTCCATTTTCTTACAATAAATTGATACCATTTAAAGTATGGTATTTTGTGACTAAAGAGATAGAGGACCAGGGAATTGTCACCTGAGCATAGATTTCTGTTTTGCCAAGGGACAATGAAAGAGCTGATGACAGTTTTCTCACTTAGGAGGCAGACAGGGCAGGGGTGAATGTGCTAAGAGACAAGGAAATAATCAGGAGCATGTCACTTTGCTCAGGAAAGTTACTCTCTAAATGACTGTAAAGAATAGCTTCTTTTATGTCCATCATAATGGTTAAGCTGAATGCAAGATGTGTAGCTGAAGTTTTCTAGGACCCGGGCAGGACCAAGAAAATTTCAGCTACAAAGATGGAGTGCCTAGATTATGCTCTTATGAAGTGAGGTGTGTCAATTTTATCACTCACTACAGGAGTCATGTCATTAGGGAAGGAGAAAAGTGGGAGGTAAGAAGACTGCTCACCTTGCTCAGTATCATTATGATGCTCTCCAGAAGCTCACTGTTTAGGATCTCAATGCCTTTGGCTCTTGTTAAAATAGCATCAGGGGCACCTTTCATATCACGAAGTTGAGTCACTAGGTGATGCAGAGGCTTATTCCAGGCATGCACTAAGCTGAGAATCATTTTCAGGAAGTTTTCAAACTATATATCATAAAGGAGCAACAATATTAAGATAAACAAAGCACATGAGGATTAGTTAGTTACATGCATTTTTAATTAGAAAGAATAACATAAACACTCTTGTAGATAAAAGTGGTGTAGAGCTGTAAATTTCAACCATTCACCTACATTCTGCCAGAATAAAAAACTTACATAAATAACTTTTAAAATATAAATTTAAATTTATAATAAAAACATATAAATAACTTATATAAATTACTTTTTGTAATGAATTATATTGATCATATTTTCTTGTCCATTTGAAATTCTACCATCTGTGCTCCATGTGAGATCTCACATATTTGATTGTTTTGCTTGTCCATGGGACACCAAGACTTTGCTTGTAACTCAGAAGGTTCCTGGCAAACATGATTTAGAAAAGACAGATGTCTCAAGTATCAAATACTTACCATTTAACTCAGATTCACCTTTCTAATAAACTAGATTGATCACTATTATGCTAGTTTACTACATTTAGGTAATTTTACAATATTAATAAAAAGATATCTTGAAGGCACTTTCTATTGATAAATGTGATATCCTGAGTCAACATGATTCTTTGCCCCTTGTCTCTAACAGAACAATCTGTTTCTTGGCATGTACAACACAAGAACAATGATACAACCTTGACTTTAATGAGAACATGGATAGAAATCACAAGAGAATTCTGACCCTCCAGTGTGTGCTCCCTGCAGGAATTTTACATGAAATTAACTGTTTTAGAATGCCTCCTGTGTTAATATTCACTAACTATTCTAGTGGTCATGAAAATGAAGAGAAGAAGGAATCCAATGGGCACAGCAATAGAAAGATGTAAAAAATCAAAGGATAGAGGCAAATCAAATGGTGATGACATACATATAGGTTGCTTGGATAATGGCAGCATATGCCTAAGAACAAGGGCTTGAATTGATAAATACCAGACATTCCTCCTAGTTACTGTAAAGGTCCATTGCATTAATCTTTTTAATTCCTCATTTTTGTTATCTCAGCTAACTTTTACAAGGCTATTTGTAGTAATGTTTTGTTTCGTTTTTTAAAAAGAGTAGTCTATGAAGTGCCTAGTCATGGAGTGAGTCTCTAAAAACATCTACAAACATTCTCTATTCCTTTAAATCTTATCCCTTCACTTCATTTTATTATTTTCAAAATGATGTCAAATTAATTCATTGGGAGAGAAGTTATGACAGGAACTCAGACGGGAAAGATCACAATAATTATGAATGCAGTTGCTGTGATATGTTGACCTCATCACAGCTGAGGGCATAGGAACTTTGCATAATATATAAAGGATTAATTTGTACAGATACTTTTATTAAGGCTCAGAGGAAAGTACAAAAGTCATGAAGTAATACAAACATAAAAATAAGAACCAGGAGAATTGTGAGAATCAAGAAGAGTCAGTGTAGTGGTCAGTATTGAGAAATGTTGCCAATGAGGAGATATTAGTAATAGATAATAATGGCAATGGCTTTCACACATCTTAGGAATACACATAAATGTATTTTTATCCAGGGATATCCAATTCAGTTAGTAAGTCCTTATATAATAATAAATAAAATCCAGTGACAGGACATTTCTGTGTGGCCTTTGAGAGTTTATGGCTCTCCTACAATACTATTTAACATCTGCTTTAACTTATAATTTATCAACTATCTCACAAGATTTTTTATTTAATTGATCACTCTTGCCCCATTTCCCTGCAGGTGTAATTATAGTGTTTATAACAATCTACAAAATGGCATAGCCAATGTGTTGCTTCAGTTATTATGTGAAAAACCTGGTCTGAGTACTCACTGAGATATCTCGGGCTTCCTCCACAGTTTCTGGAGTATTAAGAGAAAATGTGTGACAGCTGTTGAGAGTCTCATTCATGTACGTCTTATTCTTGAGGAAATCCAATACCTACAAATGTTAAAATAGAAACTGTGTTAGTTCAGTTTTGGGTATTGAGTAAATGAATCCATAATGAGCATATGAATTAATTCAGTAGATCTGTAATTTTTACAAATGAGCACTACATAAAATCTAAGATGGCCGGGCGGTGGTGGCGCACGCCTTTAATCCCAGCACTCGGGAGGCAGAGCCAGGCGGATCGCTGTGAGTTCGAGGCCAGCCTGGGCTACCAAGTGAGTTCCAGGAAAGGCGCAAAGCTACACAGAGAAACCCTGTCTCGAAAAACCAAAAAAAAAAAAAAAAAAAAAAAAATCTAAGATGAAGAAATTAAAAAGCTATCCCTTTATCTAGATTTTTCCTATTAAATTTGTAATCTCAATTTGTTTTTCATCTAATTATTTTTGAATTCTCAGACTCTTTCCCTCTTTATCATGCTCTTCTGTTCTCACAAACAAAAATCAAAAATTTTTATTTGAAGGAAAAACCCTAAAAATAATAAAATTACAAAATATGAAGGGTTTTAAAGATAACCTGTATTTAGAGTTTGAGCCCACTGTCATGGTTTCTATGAATCTATATTTATTAGTCTTTGTTTTCTGATTGTCTAAACTGAAATGCATGCAGGCATTATAAAATTATAGATATTTTTTCTACTACCACTGAACACATATAACTTGTACCATTCAAAGTAAAACATAATACTTGAATGCAATTTTTCAATATTACTAAGTGTAAATTTATTAATATCTATGAATGATTAGATAAGAAATAGTGATCCTCCTTAGGAAATGCAAATTTCAAATCAATTAAAAACATAAGAGAAATTAATGTTTACATATTTATCAATATATAAACTTAAATGCTATATTGATTTAACTATAGTTTCTGAACTATCTTTTTTTTTTTTTTTTTTTTTTTTTTTTTTTTTTTTTTTTTTTTTTTTTTTTTTGGTTTTTCGAGACAGGGTTTCTCTGTGTAGCTTTGTGCCTTTTCCTGGAACTCACTTGGTAGCCCAGGCTGGCCTCGAACTCACAGAGATCCACCTGGCTCTGCCTCCCGAGTGCTGGGATTAAAGGCGTGCGCCACCACCGCCCGGCCTGAACTATCTTTTATGTAAATCTGTTAAAAGCTAGTTTGTGGAAGTTTAATGGGTGACTATGAATGTTGAGACTTAAAGGATATTAGTCAAGAATAGGGAATAAAAAGATCTTATGAATAAAAAGACAATATAAACATATATTTATCTCAAATATAGACATTCTTGGGATGCCCATTGTTGTATTGAAAGCCTTATCTCTTTTCTCCTGCCATTAATTCACTTGAACACATAGCATATAATCAGCAGTAAAAGAGAATCCAGTTTCTCTCTTAAACCATCCCTCCAATTAAACAAACTTTGGCCTCTGAAACGTCTAAGCAATTATTCCTTGCATTCTCTTTTTAGTGAGGGATATTTTTTTTTTTACTTGTGGAAGTAAATTCTTGAGATTTGCTTTGAGGTGTTTATCATGTAAATTACATTGCAAACCTTAGCAAGAAGGTTTTGAGTTGTTTTTTGTTTGTTTGCTTGCTCCCCCCACCCGGTGTGAATATTATTTTTGTTACTGTTGCTTGCCTTTGAAGAAGGTAGAAATCAGTGGGGTACTTACAAATTTTTTGAACATTTTTGCGGAGAAGCCGTCGGAGAACTAAAACATCATGAGGGGATGAAAGGAAACTCGTGAGTAAGCACAGAATGAGCACATGCATACTGTAAATGCAGAGATGAATTCTCTGGCTCCATTATCTCCTACAAATGCTGCCTGATGTCAAATAGATAACATACAGCCATTGGGAAGAGATAAATCATGTCCTTTCTAAACCTGCCCTCCCACAGAATAAACCTGAACTGGAAATCTTTTATACAATGACTCCTGGCATTTAAGAGTTTCTGAGAGGCTAATAGCTTTTGATTATTCTTCTTTTTCCCTACTCGGCATCAAAACAGTTGATATTTGTTTTACACATTCTAGGAAACTCACTATACTGTACTTCACTGCTACTGGATGTCTGCAGTGGATAAATGAAGATGCCACTGGAGATTGGCCTCCTGTAAACAAGGTAAGGAAGTCAAATCTCTTTCTGAGATGTGACTAGTAGGTATTACGTTACAAATGTAAATTTAAGAATAATGTATTTTAAGAAAAATAGCATGTCACTAGAAGTAAATTTTGTAAGTCAATGAATTCTTTGAAAATCCTTGTGATATCTCAAAACTGCCCCTACCCTTCTTGTTTTACTCTTCAGTAGTTCCTGCTTTCTCTTATCTATGAAACTTGTATTATTAGAAATATGGTTCAGGTGATTTCTAGTTAAGACTAGAACATACTAGAGTCATTGGCTGGAAGGCTCTTTTTGTGAAGAAGCCAGAAGTAAGTGAGGTACTTACAAATAATTTTCGCATCTCCATAGTGAGAGCGTTGGTGGTCTGTGACAGTGCAATGGCATGATCAAACAGGTCCTTGAGGGACACCTCACCACGGTCACTCGCCTTGTCGTGTACGGGAGCAGAAGTCACAGTCTCCCACTGGAGTAGGTTTGACATGGACAGCAACAGGAGTACCCCTACTTATAGAAAAGAAACACAAGCTATACTGGACCTCTCCATCTGTGATTATCAACCATGATTCTTTCTTGGTTACTAAGAAAAATGTCACCTCTTCCAGACCTGCCACTCTGCTCTGTCACTGTACAGCTATGCTACTGAATTGACATCTTCTAATGAAAAAATCCAGTTAAGTAACTACATTTGCACGGCTATATAGTTTCTGAACTTGGTGGTAGTTCCTATTTTTTGGATTGTTATCAGAAATTATTATGAAGTTTTCAAACATTTGAGCTTAAACTATTGAGTGAGTGTTTTAAGTCATTCTCTGGGGACAGATTAGTGTACTGGGAATTTCTGCTGAGGTTAAGTAGTCACCATCTCCTATACATTTTTGTTATAGTGTAGACAATGTTTACATTGTGATAAGGACAACACACTACAATTTCAGCTTCATGCCTGATAAAAAATAAACACAAAATTGCCTGTTGCTCAATACTGAGGATGAAGAGAATCCTGCCATGAAAAGGATTCTGTAGCCAGCATTGCTCACTCACAATAATAATCCCATTCATTTGCCATGCTACCAAAAGCTTCAGGTTTTTTTCTCTGTGAATTTGAGCTTCACAACAGCTGTGTAGGTAGACTGGGCTAGTGTATTACCATTAAACTATATTGACCAATGAGGAGCCTTACAGGGTTAAGTGATTTTCCTTAAATCCTATTCTTAGCTGGTGTGGGAAGCAAAATGCCTACACTATAGACTTTGCACCCCACACTGGCCTATCTTAAATGTCTTGGGCTTTCATATAGATTAGGGTGGCAGAGACCATGCCCATAATCTTGAAGCTCAATGTCACCAGGCACTGTTATTTGTAAAGTACAAACTTTACCTTTGATTACATGCCCTGGTAGTTTAGATTTTCGTCTACTTCCATGGCTCTATCATATATTCTCCCTTTTCTTTTTACAGTGACTGGTATTGGTTTCATCACCAATTTTATTTCACAGATGGACAGAAACAGAGCTGTAACATATCAGTAATTTACACACTCAGCAGGATTGAACTAGCATATGTCTCAGCATGAAAAGTCCATTCACATTTAGTGATACAAATTTGAAAAAATTCTCTGTTCCATGAAACTTTTAATGAATGCAATGGGAAATGTATAACCTAAAATTAGAACACTGGTAAGACATTTTCATGAAAAATGCTTAAACTTAAATACTAAAAAATAACTAAATAAACCAAAATCTTTGCACTACACAAGATAACTATCAACCATTTGCATGCAAAGAAAACATACTTCAGAAAATTTTTATTCTAGAAAATAAATTAAAAAAACATGCTTCTTCAAATTTGTATTCTGTTTCATAGATATTTATATATTAAATAAATATATCTGCTTTCCTGCCATTTGTCATCTGAAGGATTTTCATAGTTTAAGACGAGTACAAGGGGTCAAGATCATGATGGGGAAACTCACAGAGACAGCTGACCGGAGCTAGTTGGAGCTCACTGACTCTGGACTGACAGCTGGGGAACCTGCATGGGCCTGAACTACACCTTCTAAATGCAGGTGACAGTTGTGTGGCTTGGGCAGTTTGTGGGGTCATTGGCAGTGGGACCAGGATTTATCCCTAGTGCATGACCTGACTTTTTGGAGCCCATTCCCTGTGGAAGAACACCTTGCTCAGGGTATCCCTCCATAGGGATACAGGGGGAAAGACTTTTCCTACCTCAACTTGATATGCCAGACTTTGTGACTCCCCTTGGGAGGCTTTACTCTTTCTGAGTAGCTGATGGAGGGTAGGGTAAGAGGGAGGTCGGGGGTGAGCAGGGGAAGGGGAGGAAGGGGGAACTGTGGTGTGGAAAGAAATTAAATAAAAATAAAAAAGAAGAGTACAAGGAAACTAATGACTCAGTTTTTCACTTCACAAAATGCAATTTGCTTTTGTTAATAAATCCATTTAATTGGAATTATTGTCAGGAAAAGAAAAGCAAATATTAGTAGTGATTCATGTTTTGAAAAGGATATTTTGCTTGAATGAAATTGACAAAACAGTATAGCTCTTCTAGCCTTGTCTAATTTGCTTCTAAAATTGAAGGTATGATAAAGTTCACTCAATTCCTACAACTCCTAGCAGAGACCCAGGAACCAGAACATGCTGCTTTCTTCTACAGTAGTTCCATATGGAATTTATAAAATTCTGTGGTCTCATTACAGTCAAATGTCCCAGTATCTGCAATTTTGACTTTTAGAGGTGGCTCAGTCCACATTCTGGAGCTCTCCGTGTTGTACATTGCTGAGCAGACTCATTGCTGGTCTCTTCCATTAGACAGAGTACTATTCTTCTTTTCTACTTAAATCAAAAAAGATTATGCAAAATGTCTCTAGAGATTGCTGTCTATCTCCAGGGTAAGAAAGCTTCCCTTTTGGAATCACTGATGTCAAAGTATACTGTGCAGTTATGTTCTAGAGCAATGATTAGAAAGTACTTCTCTGTTCCATTTAGCTTTACTTTTGTGAGTTAGGCATAAATAAAGGTCAATTCAGACCATGTGTAAGAGCAAAAACACCAAAGAGGCAAATGGTCGAAACCAGCTTTGCAAAATAATGCATTGTTTAAGCTCACCTGGAAGAAATTGGGAAAGAATTACTTACATAGGGATGGCTGAGTCAAAGACAGCAACATCTCTGAAGAGCTGACCACAGCTTGACTGCTGATTCAGGATAGCTGCTTCAAAGCCGTTCTGCTTTAAGTTAATTTTCCACCGCTACATATTGCAGTATACCATGCCCAAGGCCATCAACTGCTAGGAGGCAGGCGGAAGTACACGCCTGCAATCTCAGTGATGGCTCCATGTTTCCTTCCCCTCAGAGGATGTCAACAGCATAACAATGGTGACTAAAGTGGTCATAGCTGCATCATTCAGCTTATTTCAGGGTCAAGACAAAGCTCCAATTGAAATTATAAATAACCAGAGTCATCTCCACCCTATGAAGATTGAATTTCACAAGCTAGGAAAATAACTATGTCTTAGACCTTTATTTTTTTTCCTTTAGATTCTTGGGTATTTTGGTGACCACTTCTGAAATACTTCCTGAATATTGGATAAGATGACCTATTTGTTTCATGGTTTCTGAACAATGGAACACAAGACCACAGGATGAATCACATGCTGAGCAGCTTAGCTTTTATGAGTCTTTGCAGGTATCCATGGATCACTGCAGGTGTTTGCCATTATATTATATTCTAGGCCCACAAGAGTAACACAGGGTGCAAATGCAGATCCTTAGAAGGCTTTTGCACTAGTAAATGACATTCATGTCCTGAAACAACATCAATGAATTTCTCATTAGTGCCTAAGACTTGACCTCTATAGACTTTGAGCGAGGCTTATTGTAACAATCAGGTTCTTTCCATGAAATTAACTTTAATCTATTCTAGATGTATTGGGCTACACCTATATGAGTTGGGACACTATTGGATAAGTTGATACATATGGTTTGGTTCAGCAATAATCTTAACTTGGACTAAATAAAGTTCTCTTTGTGATAGTTCTCAACAGTAGCGAGCTATCCTGTGGCACTACAGAAGTCAAGCAATGCTACGTTTTCTTCTATCTAATCAGGTTTCTTTTTATCATGAAACCAGAGCATGTGACTTCTCATTCCACTGTCTCTTATTTTTGGTACTTTTACATCTAAGACACTGTTATATTAGACAGCTGGCCCCTGGAGCCTCACTGTCACACACTTCATAGGCAGACTGGGAAAATGAGGTATGAAGAAGAGTTCATTCAAAAGAAGAAGAGGTTCAACTGGTAGTTCCCTGATAGTGTGTAGGATTCTAATGCTTTGGTGACTACAAGACTAATGAAAAGCAATTTGGATCACTGAGCTTTGTTGAATGTATTAAGAAATAGGGCCATGAAGGTGACAATGATATCACATCTCCTATGTTAAGTAATGATCCTGCCAAAATTTTATACAGTGTACTTCCTCGAATAAAAGGGAACACACACACTCTAGACACATCTCTGCTTGAGATCATGGTATGTATCCGAAGTAGAAAGTTTTACCTGAGAGTAAGACAAATATGTTGAACTTATTTTTTAGAGGAAAGGAAAGCATTTGTGGTGGAAAATTTTCATATAACCCTGAAATCTTTCCACAGACGGATGTGACCAATAAAAAGCAGTGGCCAAAGAGTCTGGAAGCCATCAAATCAGGAGTGTTCTTAACAAGATAACTGGGTTGGCAGGTGTGAATTGTCCTTTGCCCCACTTACCTGAACTGGGCTTATCAGTTCAAGTTCCTCCCAAGTTATCTATTCTTTTGTCCACTGGAAGATCCCATAAATACAGAAGAAAAATGCTCCTAGGAAAGACAATGTCTTATGGAGACATAAAGGTGGGAATGTCTCCTATTCACTCTGCTCTGCCCAAAATTGATATTTAAAGAAATCAACTGAAATAAGTCATGGAGTATTTCATTTGTAAGTTGTATCTTATTTGATTTTTCTAAGATTTCATTTTTATGTTAACTATGATATGCATGTGTGTATATGTTGAGTCTGGGTTTGGCACACAGGTGCAATGCCCATGGAGGGCAGAAAAGGGTGTTGTATCTCCTGAAGCTGGATCTATTGGCAGTTGTGAGCCACGTTGCCCTGATGCTGGGAATCAAACTCATTTTCTCTGTAGGAGCGGTATGCACTCTTAAAACACTGAGCCGTATCTCCAGCCCCTGCTTATATTTGTTTGCTTTTTTTCATTTCTGAAATAGTCAATTTATTTATTAGTGTTTTTATTGAAATAGAATTATATCACTCCACCTCCATTTCCTCCCTCCAGCCCCACCCAAAGACCCTTCCTTAAACCCCTCCTATGATGACTCCACTCTCAAGTTGAAAGTCTCCTCTATTTTATATTTGTTTTATACACACACATGTGTGTGTGCTGTTATATAAAAATACAAACCGATGAGTTTATTTTTGTTGTTTGTATGAATATAGTTTTAAAACTGAGGACTCTTCATTGAATAATCCATAAGAGGGCTCATCCATGGGAAAGGCCAAGTCTCCTTCTAGCAGTCAAATAGTTGCCTGCAGTTCTCTGTCTGGGGGTGGAACCCTCTGGAAGTTCCCTCTTCCATTAAGATGTCCATTGATATTGCTACTCTGTTCTCATTTATGTAGCCACTTTTTAGAATGGAGTGGTTGACAGCAGACTTTCTAATATTGTGGTTCTTTCAGTCTTCTTGTCCCCTCTTCTGAAATGTTTCCTGAGCCATCAGTGCAGTCATGTCATGTAGATGTGTCTATTAGAGCTGGAGTTTTCATGATCATTTGATCTCTGCATTGTGTCCAGTTTTGGTTTTCAGTGACAATTTCCATTTGTTGCAAAGAGAAGCTTCTTGGTGAAGGGTGGCAGCTACACTTATCTGTAGCTGTAAGGATAAGATTCAGAATGTAATAAGGAATTATCCTGGTGAAGAATGTGAAGGTAGCATTTTTTCTAAGGTCCAATGATCTTACTAGTGTGGAGGTTAGGTTTTCTCTATGAAGGATGATTTTTCTCTTGTTGTGTGAACCTTAAGTCAAATTAGAGGGCTGTTTGTTACCATCAACATGTGAGTATCACTCACTGTACCTTTAGGCATATATCTTGCCTTGCTGGTGATTGTTATACTTCATAGGTGTTTCAGCTGGGTAGGACTGTTTAATTGCTTTTCCTCTCTTTGTAGCTTGCACAGTATTTTCTGGAGTCCTGGAAGCTAGACCATAGGGAAGAGGCCTTGAGGTCGGATCCAACTTGAATTGTCTGAGTTGTGTGTCCTAAATATGTGATGTCTTGTCTTCATCAATAGGGCCCTCCCTTAAACTCTGAGAGGCAACCAAGGCTTTACTGAAAACATTCTTTTAGGAGTCACATAAATACATCCACTTTTTGGATCTAAATTGCTTCATTCGATATCATCTTTTCTAGGTCCACTCATTTCTCTGAAAACTTCATGGTTTCATTTTCTTAACAGCTGAATAGTACTCCATTGTATATACATATCACATTTTCATTATCTATTCATCAGTTAAAGTGCATGTAGATTGTTTACATTTCCAGGCTATCATGAACATACTAGAAGCAATTGTTTTCTGTTTTTTAATCCTCCTAGGTGTTGAATTCCTATATGAGCTCATAATTGTTTGAAGGTTTTATCATTGACTTTTAATGATATAGCCCATCCTATTACAAATGTTCATTATGTTATGCTAACATCTACCATCTCATAGATTCACACAATTAAAATTGCCTATAAAATCAAACAGAGCAAATGAGATTTAGGAAGACACCATTTATGAGAGGAAAAAGACATATTTGAATGCAAGGGGTTATTAAAAATCTAAATTCAAGAGTGTTTTCTTTTGTACTGAGATGTATCTCATTGGTAATACAAAATGAAGCACTAAAGAGACTATAGGACAGAAAGATAATACATGTGGGATGATAGATGTTTCTCCACACTCTAATGGCTCTGTTGACTTTGGCAGGGACACTAGTTATTTGCTGTTTGGAATTACATACATGTCTATAATGTTTTCATTAAATTCATTCCCTTCCAACTCTTTTTGTAATCCCACCACTACTTTTCCTTCCCAATTTCATGCAAACTTTTACAAACAACCCAAGTACACTTAGTGTTGCCAGTATATGCAATAGTGTAAGGACATCCACTGAGGCATGGGCTATTTATATTTCTAAGGGATGACATGATATCCCCTAGGAAATCTGAATCTCCCTCCCCAAACAGCCATTGATTGAAAACAACTCCTTATCCATGGTCAGGACTTTAGAAGCCCCTCTTATAACCAGGCTGGAGCTTTGGCTGAATTGATCATGTGCAAATCTTTTGTATACACTGACAACTGTGTGTGTAAAGTATTATGTCTATAAAATTCTATTTCATATCAGTATTCCTCTATTTCTGGTTCTAATAACAAATCTATATTAGTTTTGTTTTGTGGAAAATGCCTTCAATCTAATTAGGAACTAGTCAGATATTCCTATTACATTTGTGCTGTTATTGCAAAAATGAGCTTAGCTTGCAGACCAGCAGTCACTATAGCTTTAAGGGTTCACAACTTGGAAAGACTGCGGATTACTTCTCTTCCCCAGTAACATGCACAGTACTCTCTGACACTATGAAAGCTATGCAGTAGAGATGAAATATCTAAGTCAATCAAGCATGGTATCTCTATGTGCAATGTCTTCAGTAATAGGATCTTACAATCAAGTTGATGTGGGTAACCAAGAGAAATGATAATAGGCTGTATTCTTTTATGGGAGGCCTCTCAAACCCAATGGAACAACAGCTCAAAGGGATTGGAGAACACCTGACTTTGGAGTGATTCCATACAATGAGAAACCCTCTACTACATTAACAGATTCAGTACCAGCATTTAAAATTCTTGTCAGTAAACTGTCCTCTCAACATTAAAACATTCCAAAACACTTGTGTTTATCTGACCCTCTGTCAAACTTTCTCCAGAATTTCTGCTTCTGAGCTATCCTAAGTGGCCTCAAATTCTTCTTTCTGTGAACTTATTGCATTTTCATTTTTTCCTAAGTCGCCACACTTAAATTACTTTCCTACTATACAGGTCTATTTTATTTTTTAATTTCTCATTAGGTT